CAAACATCAACACTTGCTTTTCAACCTCTTCCCTTTGAACACCATTTCCTTTCCAAGGAGATTTTTCTTGCTCGAGTTATGGATTAAAATGAATAATTTTTAATCTTCCTGAGTCTTTTCGTGCTTGGATTTTCTTCTCTCACTCACGTTGGGTCCTGAATATCTAACARCACCTCATCAGCCTCGAAATAAATTATTTCTGCATCCCCTGCCTGTGCTTTGTCAAAGGTGCMCCAAGCTGCTTTTATTTTCTGCTGTGAGAGAGTTTTGAGCAGGGYTTTACAGGCAGGGAATGCACAAACCCTGTGTGGTGTCTGTCTGCCAGATTAAAGCCAGACAGCCTGTTTGTGAGGCTGGGCAAAATTTGAATTTCTCCTGTGATTTTTGTGATTCCTGAAGCCCTGCTCCACATCCACGTTTGAGGAGGAAGCATCTGATTCGGGGAATGTCTGAAACATCTCTGSTCAAACCCAAAAGCTGGGAAATCAGTCATTCCCAGGAAATTCCTTCTCTCTGTTCCACTTATGAATCCTAACAGGGTAGAGAGTCGTGATTGAAGCCCAGCTCCTGGTTTGGTTCAACCAGATGCACACTCACAGAGGCAGCTGAATGTTGTTAATCCTAAAAAGCAGCTTTTGGAGGTTCTTTGTTGTTTAATCACTTGGGTTTTTCCAGGGAACCCTCCAGCTCTGTCACCCTCATCAGTGTCACCGGAAAAATGGGATTTAACGTGGCTGTCACCACTGTGTTTGCAAGAACCCCCCAATTGCCACGTGCAAAGTGAGATTTCATTTGTGTTCTTGGCCTCACTGGTGCTCACTGAAGGTGATGTGAACCAGCTTTTTGCTGAATTAACCCATCATTAAAAATCTGTCAAWAACAGAGCTCCCYGAAGCSCTCCCCTCTGGAATATTGCAGCAGYCTGTGTTAATTGAAGTGTTTGAGATGGGATCAGTCCCTGCTACAAGGCTGATAAAATCCAGCTMTCCAACCAGCCATGGGTTTGCTTTCTGCCTGCAGCTCTTCAGAAGCAGCTCCATGCTCGAGTGTGGTTAAAAAAATAAAAAARGAAATTTAAAACAACACCCCCAGAGTGCTGCTAGGAACAATGACATGATGATGGTGATAGTAATAAAGCAATGTCTTCCACTTAGCAAAGCATTTCAAAGAGAAATCCCTTTCTTTTCCTGGAGATAAACATGCCACGAGCAGCCAGACATGTTTGAGTCCTTAGGGAAATTGGAGTAAACAAAAAACTCCGTGCAGCYTTGTCACCAAAATCTCTCAGCCCCGGGTGCAAAATGTACTCGGGAGGAACAGCTGATGAAGAGCAGCAAAGATCTGGCCTGGAAAAATTTGGAACAGAGGAAAGATGGCTGAGATTCACAGAATTTTGGGCTGTTCTTGGAGAAAAACAAATAGTGGAGGWTATTGCTCCCAAAGCGGGAGAGAGGTTTGGAGGTGTTTTTCCAAGTGGAAGGGCTGATGCAGCAGGGAATGTGGGGTTTGTGCTGCCCAAAGTGATGCTGAAATCTGGATAACCCAAAGCAGAGTTTGGCCAGAACTGAGAGAATCCAAAGCAGTTCTGTTATTGCAGGGCCTTCAGGGCCATTCAGGGCAGTCCCAGCCCAGCCAGGGGCTGCACCCACAATGGACAATGGCTCACGGCTTTTTCACCCTTTCTCACTTTTGTCCATTTGCACATCGGGATTTGCTGAATCCTCCAATTGCAGCTGCAGCCAATGCAGTCAAAAACTCCAACTTGGCTCCCCCAATTCTCTGTTGTTTCCATCTCTTGGGGCCTGGCACAGGGAGGTGTCCTTGAGTTTGGGGCTGCAGAGGAATTGTTTTGTGTAAAAATGGGAGAGCAGGAGCTCAGCACTGTCTGTGGAGTCTGGAGTGAAACACTGAAGAATTCCAGGGGTACAGAGACATGGAAACAGAGAAACTGAAATCCTGAGGCATCAAAAGCTCTCGGTTCCCGCTGGTTTCCCCTGCTGAGGTGGTGGGCGTGGGCCAGGGGCTGGGAGGGGTCTCTCTGATGTTTCTGTTTGTCATTGACTCTGCTCTTTCTTTGTCTTCTCCTCGCTGGAATCTCTCTCTAGGAGTTTCATGGGGTAATATGTTCTTCCTGTCTCTTGCTGCTCTGTCTTGCCTGTCCAACCTGTTGTCCACACCTTTTGCCACCGTGGAAACAACTGAGCCATGTTCCACCCATCCCATTGACTCCTTTGTCCCCTTTRTTGCTCATTTTCCAGTGAATCTTCCTTTAACAATTCTCATTCATCTCAATTTTCCTGCAGCAGAGATRGGAGCAGACTAGAAAGCCGAGTCAGAGAGTCAAAAACCACGTGGAAATGTGTTTGTACTGAAAAGGTTTGAGGGGGTGGCTCAGTGGGTGCTGATGGGTGAATTACAATTCAGGAAAATCCTAATAGGTAGGTTTAAAAAAGAAATTTGAGTCTCTTTTAGAGGATTTCACCTCTAAACAGCCGTGCTGGAAGCTCCAGGACTAATTCAGGGCAGTCTAGGTGATTCAACCCAGGCTCTGATTTTGGGGAAAAGCCTTTGGCATGAAAACAGCTCAGGGAGCTTCTCACAGTGTCAGTTTGTGACCAAGGAGGTTCCAAAAGTTGTGTTTAACCCCCTGCCAGGGACAGTTCTGCTCTCAGTGCAGGGCAGGATGGGAGGCAGAGCTGTGCCCTCTGCCCCCACATTCCAGGAGCTCCAAAGAATCCTCCACAGCGAGGAAACGATGCCAAGAACAGCCTTTGATGTGGTCCAGGAAATCTGGCACTTGATTCTCTCCACTCTCGAGGAAACCAGAGCGTTCAGAGCAGGGAGAGGGTGGCTTTGTGCTTGGGCACAGTGGGGTGACCTCGTTCACTCTTCCAGGCAGGAAATCACTCTGTGCCATGAGGATTCCAGGCAGTGGCTCCACCTGGCTCTGAATTTTTGATGCCCTGACACTGAGAGGGTCCCTGTCACCTGAAATCAGAGCTGCTGGCAGGAGCACCTTCCATTTGAGAGAGCTGCTGAATTTTTAAAGGCTCTTTTATTTATTGAAGGGAGGAAAGGCTTTGCAAAGGTCTTTTAAAATATTCCTAATGTTTTAAATAAACAGGCAGCAAACTGACACAGAAAAAAACAATAAAACAGCACTGCCTAATGCACCCAAAGTTGATCTAATGCAATTGTTTTTGGTGGTATTTTCTTTCTTTTTTCTTTTTTTTTTCTCTCTGCCTTTATTCTGTGCTCCTCTATCACTCCTRTTCAAGATTCAGCTCTTCTGAATGTTGCAGTTGTTACTCTGCAGTCAATTAAAACCTTGTCCTTCCATAGCAATTTCTTTTTGTTGTGAGGAATATTCAGGTCAAATGTGTGCTTGGATACACCTTTTGACTGAATCCCGGCTCCATCTGGACCTTTTATTTCGTGGGACATCTGGCTTTGTATGAAAGCGGTGAAAAGAAATCCCAATATTGGCAGAGAGGGTTTTTAAAAACACCCAACCCCAACCCTTAGGGTTTATTTGACAGGCAGAGGATCCCTTTAATTAGAATGCAATTTGTGTCAGCTAGGTCAGAGTACCAGGCCACTGGAAAAGCTTTTTCCTATAGTAGGGACCTCACTGTGACAAAAACTACTTTTTTTTTCGGGATTCTCCATATGGCTCAGAGCATAAATCCCATTAAGATTTAATTGGCTCACGCTCTTTATTTGCTTAAGTGCCTGAATGAAAAAAATCAGTCAGYCCCTCTTAGTGTCCTCTGCTGAGGCAGAAGGAATTCCATGTGACTGGAGCTGTCTGTCCTCTGAGCTCCCGGCGCCTCTCCTGCTCCAGGGAAAAGCACGAGCTGGGATTTGCTCTGCCCAGCGTCTCTTTAACCTTCCTAGAAACATTAAATCCGTGGGAATTCCTGCTTCAGGTGATGCCGAAATCTGGATAACCYAAAGCAGAGTGTGGCCAGAAYTGAGAGAATCCAAAGCAGTTCTGTTATTGCAGGGCCTTCAGGGCCATTCAGGGCAGTCCCAGCCCAGCCAGGGGCTGCACCCACAATGGACAATGGCTCACGGCTTTTTCACCCTTTCTCACTTTCTCACTGCAGGAAATCAGGTGGTTTCCTGCACTTTTGGTGCTTCTCTCTCAACAGAGGGCATAGGGCAGGGCAGGGGAAGCTTTGCAGTCCTGCAGGAACCTCTGTGAGGCTCTCAGGTCTGTGGTACTTCCATGAATTCCCTCTTGGAGGAGTGC